CTTGATTTCTTTTCTAACCCTCAACTGGTACATAACCTCAAATGAACCGGGGTGTTTTGGTCATTTTGCTTTTTCGTACCGCTATAAGCTAATCCAAACACTTTTTACAAAACTCCAGTTTGATACCTCATAAGTTAATAAGCACTTTTACAAAAAAGCATAAGTTGTTTTAAATAAGCAATCCCAAACACCCCCTAAAGAACATGTCAAACGAAGTAGGGTTTTGATCTCCCGGTTTCTGCTTTTTCCTTGGAAACGGTTGCCGGAGGTTCGTCTGAACTTCCTTTGCGGTTGGATATGATGGTAGGTGGTGGCAGAGCATCCAAAAAGCAGATCATAGATACCGAAGACAAGGGACTCCCTTCATCTGCATATGAAGTCCTTTCCTACGACGACCTTTTGATTGAAATCTTACTCCGATTACCGGCGATCTCACTTCATCTGTTCAAATCTGTATCCAAACGCTGGTTATCTCTCATAACAGATCCTAATTTCACTCTTCGCCGGAGCCAAATCACTAACATCGATCCCCCTTCCGGTCTTTTTCTCCAGCGACCTTATGTTCCATATGATTATGAGTTCGTGCCATTCGATATCAGAATTCCGTCCAACAGATCTCCAATCAACACTACTTTAGCTTTCGGCCCTGACGCAGGTAATTTTGAGATCTTACAGTCCTGCAATGGTTTGCTTCTCTGTTATATCGTGCCTGATAAGTTCTACGTATACAATCCATTCATTAATCTGTCTAAGATGCTTCCACAACACCGTTTTACGAATTTGATTGGTCTTATTGGCGGTATGAAACTCGCTTTTGATCCTATCAAATCACCTCACTACACAGTCGTGTGTGCTGAAGACATACATGATGATCGTGGATATTTCATTCAAATACAGACTTACTCTTCAGAAACAGGAAACTGGAGTGTTTGTGGTGATCGATTTCCCCTCCAATGTTTCACAGGGTTTCACCATGGGATATATTGGAATAATGCCATTCATTGGCTAGATTTTGTGAATGGCGGTTTGCATTTCAAGTTAGATATAGAGCATCCATTGTTAACACGCGTACAAACTCCTGGAACATTGGATAGGAAGCTGCATTATGTTCACAAGTTGTTAGAATCTCGTGGTCGTTTGCTTCTAGTATATCCAGTTCTGGATTCCCGACAGTTGAAAGTTTACGAGATGAGGAATGAGTATTCTGGGTGGTTGGTTAAGTACATTGTTAATCTTGATGACATGGGGAAGCTATTTCCCAAAACTTGGCTGATCTCTGCCAAGCGGTTCTGTATCATTGTACGGTCTGTTGTAGTGGGAGAAAGAGAAGAGGATTCGTATGTTGTGATGGAAGTATCTGGGAAGCTTATACAATATCATATCGTCTTAAAGACTCTTCGTATGATTTATGGTTTGGCATCAACTTGCCCTCCGGTTTCTGAAGCTAAGAAATTTGGTAGTTTTCAGTTCATTGCATCTTTTGCTGGTGTGTGATTCTGCTTTCAGTTTTCAGGTATGAATTATGATTTTCATATCTTTATGTTTATACTTTCTTAGTTATTCACCAATATAGTTGCTTGTTAGATGCAGTTGTCACAATGAATCAAAAACCAAACTAACTGTACACAGTATATTTAACCGCTACTCCACTAGGAAGTAGGGTATGAACGGTAGATACGTTAACCGGCAGAGATGTTTCCATGAAAACCCCCGGCTTGTGAAAAGATTTCGGAAGGACACAAGAGAAACATAAAATTTGTCAAAAAAATTGAAAGTTCTGAGGATTTTGTAAAGAAACAGACGTCGTAACGGTGATGACGAACATAGATTTAGATACACAATGTGAACCATTGCTGTTATGATTCAATGAAAGCCATTTTGGAGCTATTATTTAAGATATCCTATGCAATTCCTCAAACCCCAAAGAAGCAGTATGAGCTAATAACCATTAGATCAAGTTAAAACTATGTCAACAAGGTATTAGTAGGCCCCAACTTATAAAGTTACAATTCTAGACGAATAATCATTTACAAATTACAAACACTCAAACTGGTTTGTATGTTTGTACAAATTATTGGGTTTGTAAAACAAGGGTCTCTACAATTCTAATATAATCTTGATGTGGAATGGGATGTATGGGTCCAGCCCAACAGAATCCTATAACTGTAATCTCAAGAGATGTATGAGTCCAACCCACTATACTTTGACTCAAGATGGTCATAACTAGGGTGGATCCAAAAACCCGTCGTATCCAATTGCATATTGGGTTATTGGTTCGGTTGAAGTGGTTGTGGGTTCGGGTTTCGGGTGAAACCAAATTGGAGATCAGTTCTAGTGGTTCGGGTGTGGGTTATGCTTTTTCTAATTGGGTCCTCCCAAAACCCGAATAAGCATAATTTTTTTTTATTCAGCTTGAGATATTAGTGTTTGTTTGCTGCCTTCTAATCTCAGAGACAGAGTTACCCTTTTGCAATGTTTTTAAAAACTGATCCATTCTGCTTGATCGTTGTTTGAGGGTTGAAATATTATTCCCACAGAGTAAAGACAGCGAGCAACGATAAGAAGTTTTAAACAATGCAAAAGCACCTACGAGTTTTTAAGCCGGGATATGCACAAAAATAGATATCACAAAATAGTCGACTTTTTGCAAAGTTGCGTAAATGGCCACCATTGTAATAAGCACAAAAGCCCCATCTTTTTTTTGCAAAACGTATTTTTTTTTAATTTTCTGATTATGATATTTTTTAATTAATGAATTATGTGGTTTATATTGCTTCTTTTCTTCTTGTAAATTGATCGTCTTTTTGTTTGAACTAGACCCTATATACTAAATGTTAGCTTTAGATAAAAAAAATCATGTGAAACAATACCTTAAGATAAAAAGTTTAATTGTTATCACATTATATGGATCTCTCAAATGATTAAGGCTTATATATTTTTATAGGTTGGGTTTCGATGAGAATGAAAGTTATGGTAAGCAGAATAAGAAGGGATTTCCACCATTGGATCAATCTTGATTGAAGATTAACATTAATCCGTGCATCGAGATATACCAGATCAATTCCCATGATAAACGCAATTCATGGGATGGGGGTGAGATTAAAAGTAATCAAGGGTCCACATCTCTTGTTAAGCTTCTCACTTTCACTCATTCTCACAAGATCCTTCGTCTATGCGTGTGTGTATATATATATATATATATGTGTGTGTGTGTGTGTGTGTATATATATATAGGCAAAGGTTATTTTGGGGAGTGGTAAATATTTGAGAAGTAAAGAAGTAATCTTAGTCCTTTATACGATCAAGATCGGATTTGATTGATAAATAATTGCTGCTTTGATTGGTTAATAATTACGGTTTCTGCTGATCGAAAATTGCGGCTATGCAAAAAATAGAGATAGTAGTTTTGTAACTTTTATAAATAGACGACAAACGGGTTCATATACGAACCTATGTGATTAACACGGCCGTCCTAATCTTTTTAGAGGCCCTGTTACAATGTACAATGACCAAGTTGCAATGAAAAACAAACCACAATGGTTTCAAAAAGACGATCTCTCCAAAAAGTTCCTATTCATTCCAAATTCAACTAAATTCAATCTCAGGTTTGAAAATTGGGAATGGATCACGAAAGCCGAACATACTTCATAACTGATCAAACTGGATTAAGTTTTGATTCATAGAGAATTACTTAACAACAAAACAGATAAAATTTATGATGAAAAACCTAATTAGGGAAATGTACCTATTACGTCACATGTTGATCGAGGCAAAATTACTCTCGTATTCGAACGAATGCAATACTTCTTTGGATTGGCCGTCTTCACCTACAAATTGTTCACCAAATTTAGTAGTGCAATTGGGGAGTGTTGGTATTCAACAGACCCACATGCCACAACAATTTTGTATTTTGACTTTTGAGTGAGGAATTTAATCAAACACAGAATGCAAAATCCTATTTCGGTATTTCCCAATCAAGAACTACATATAGATTTAAGTCGACAATCCAGCAAATTAACATGAAATTGACTGCATTTTAACCATTAAAACTTACCAATATCTTGTCAACAAAGGGTTGACTTTGGATTCGGGTTTGCCTAATTTTGTGAGTGGAGACGATAGAGATATATTTGCCTGATTTGGTGAGTGGTGACGATGAGAAGTGAGAATGATGGATCAAGAAGGGGTAGATCAACGATCAACGATGAATCTGAATAGGAGATTGAAGCATCGTTTCTAAAACATCTATTTAATAGCCCAATTGACGGCCTTGGTGATTAACATATGAACTATATGTTCATATGTGAACTCATGTAATTCACATATGAACTATTTTAACTGATTCACATATGAACCCGTGTGATTCGAACTACTTAACTGATTCTCATATAAATTAATTAACTGATTCACATATGAACCCGTGTAATTTACATATTAACTAATTAACGAGTTCATATATGAACATATAGTTCATGTGTATTACATGGATGCACATGTGAATCATTTTGCTGTTTATTTGTAAAATTTACGAAATTACTCCTCTATCTTCTGCATACCCATGCAAGGAATTATTCGGTGTTTCATGATGAAAGCGTGAATATTGACCAGATGAAAGATTATGATCACTCATTTATTTTTCAAATATTTTATCATTGAGAAACTTTTCCTATGTGTGTGTGTGTGTGTGTATATATATATATATATATAGGGTTGGGTTCACGTGAGACCAAGAGTTTTTCGTGAGACCCGTAAGACCAATCTATGTTCATTGATCAACTTTATAAGCTAATGATCTAATGGTCTAAAGTTGCAAGGTGACAATTTTGTAATTATTGAGAAGTCTCGTGCCGTTTATGAATGTTCCGATCTGACGATTGTAAATCTAATCCAAGGGTTGAGAATTGGTCTTACGGGTCTCATGAAAAACTATTGGTCTCACATGATCCCAAGTCTATGTATATATATATATATATTAAAAGTTATTCGACATTATTTCGACCTGCTAATTAACATGCATTTCAGGTACCAGTCATCATGCAATAGAGGAAAAGAGAGTTAACGTCCTTTCCATTTGCAAGTTTGTTAAATATCGTAAGATTATAAATGACGTTTATAAATAGTTGTAAAGAAGAGTGATGTGATTTGACTTGTAATGGTGATTATTATGACATCACAAAACTTAGGAATTGTTTGTTTATCTCTTAATAGTTTCATTAAGAGGTACCAACTGAATCGTTATGAAGTAAGGGGCTGTTTGGCAGTTGCTGAATGATTTAGTGCAGAATAGTTAAGTGGTCAGAATGGTTAAGAGGGTCAGAATGGTTAAGTGTTGAATGAAACAAGGTTGTTTGGTAATTGTTCTCTGAATGACAACAAATTACCATTTTATCCCTCTGTATGATTTACCAAAAATTGTAAACGTCTAATGGTTTTTGAGCCCATCCATGGTTCTGCTCCTGATATTGCTGGGCAGCTGAGAGCTAAATGAGGGATTGGATTACAGCTAAAATGAGGAATCCAAGTTAATTCTTGATTTTAAAACCTGTTGTAATGTAGAAATTGGTTGGATGCAAGGAGATGGGTGAACAAGTGTTGAACTCTGTGGATACAAAGACACCTGCTGCATCACTACTCTAAGGTTTTATATCGAACCCTTTTAGATGTTAGCTTGCGGAATCATGGACGTTTTTACGAGTTTTAAGTCATCTCAACAGGGAGACGAGACATCAGGGAAACGACATAGCAGCAACGGGGTTGTGGAAGGCGGAAGGAGGAAGGAGGAAGGGAGACGAGACATCCGAGGAACGATCGACACAGCAGACCCTAATGGCAGGCGACACAGCAGCAACTAATGGCATGAGACATCGATTGGAAGGAGGAAGGAGGAACGAGCGTGGGAGGAACGATCGACACAACATCAACTAATGGCAGGCGACATCGATTGGAAGGAGGAAGGACATCGATTGGAAGGAGGAAGAACATCGATTGGAAGGAGGAACCAGCATGGGAGGAGCAGCCGTCTATTGAAGTTTGAGAGGGCAAAAATGGAAGAACAACCCTCTGAATCATTTAGGAGCCCCCTAAACACTAAATCATTAAGAGGATTTCGTAACCATTATTTTTTTACCAAACAACTCATACCTCTTACCGATTAAGAGGTCTCTTATATGTCACCATTAAGAGGCATCCAAATAGCCCCTAAATCTTGTTTGGTAAAAAATATATTTGTTTCTTAATGGTTATGATTTTGTATCATGGACATCCCTTAACCATTAAGCACCTTAATTTCATTGTAAACAATTACCAAATAATTATATTTCATTTTACACTATACCATAAGAACCTATTAATAACTCTGACCACTTAATCATTTGGCATCAAACCAGTTTGATGCCAAAAAACAAGGGGTGGGGGGTGGGTGGGGCCGGACCCTGGATGGGACAAAAAGTTTTCTTTTTCCAGAGTGACTAAAAAATTATCAATCTATCCTCATTTGATATATAACCAAAATATAGAATTTGGTTTAATGGTCACTGTTGCCACCACCATTCCCCAATCATATCTAGTCTTAGTCGTACCAAACACCAGACATACAACTTGTTTAATCCAATCCAATTTACGTACCAAATGCTACCTGATAAAACTTATTCGTAGCTCATATCAAGTAACATACAATTCTAATCTTCTATCCATATAAAACGCGTTTTCTACAGATTCCATCAAAATTGTCACCAGCAGTCGACCACTTATTTTGCAATGAGGGATATCATAACACATTTCCAACTTGTGCTTTCAGTATCATCCACCATTTCCATTATGAATCAAAGCTATTAGCCATCAATCCCATGAAGGAAACAATTACTAGTACTATTTCAACTCTACTTCAGAATAAGATGAATCACCAAAACAAATAGAAAAACGACATCATTGATTCTAGAAGAAGTACTAAAACTCGTTCTGCAAAATTGGATATACGAACATATGAACTTAAATGCGACACAAAATGAAACAAAAAGCATCGTGTGACAATGATAAGAAAGAACCAATAATATAGTTCGTACCAATACTAAATGGGGTATTCATATGTTATATACGGTTAATAGCGTAAAGGAAAAAGAACATAGCACAAACTCTTATGGTTTAACCACAAGGGTGGTGCCTGATTGGTTTGAGCTTGACTCCAAAGGTCAAAAGTACCAGGAGGTCCTAGGTTCAAATCCAAGGACGAATAAAAATCCCCTTATGGCCACGGAGGTTCAAATGCGGTGACTCGGGGCTATCTGCAAAGCAGGTGGTCGCCCTGGGATTAGTCGGCTCACATAGCGGGTTGGATATCCAGGTTAATAAAAAAAAACACACATTGCGTTGATTGCAGAGGTGGGTCTAGACAAATTTACAAACGTGTGCACAAAATAATTAACATAATATAAAATAAAACAAAATAAAAAATATAGTTTTATTAAATTTGACGTACACGTGGCTTTTTCCTTCTTTTCTGTAGGCTGTAACCATTTTTTGTTAACTTAGAAGAGCACACATTATATTAAATTGAATGCACCTTTAAGACTCCTAAAACAAAAATTCACTACCTGGGCAGGATAGAGCGAAGCACGGCGCCCCCTCCCTCCTTAAAGCCTCCCGTTATCCAGTATCATCAACAACTATTCATTGTACTTGTGTTCGGTGGTAACTAGTTGCATCCTTTGTAGCCGGTGGCTGTTACCCCCCAACTTATACTAAACGAGTCTCTTCAACTAGTGGTTATGAGTTTGAGGCTGTTATTAATGAGGGGTGTGTATTTTCGATTGTTTAAATAGGAAGTTGTATCCTTTGTGCTGAAGTAGAGAACTCTACAATGTGAAGCTATAGACGTATCATGTTGACAATGTGAAATGAACTTATTCACTGAGACACCCAACCTGAAAGTTCTCCAATTCTGGGATCTTTTTTTTTTCCCTTTCCACAGATTAGTGTTTGGTACCGGATGAGACTGGACTGGACTGAATGGGTGAGGGTGAGG